TTGCGAGTTTTTTGAACCACTCGTAGCGTTCTTGTCGAGCCCGAGTTTTGTGGATACGGGCACGAGCACGAGCACGATTCACACTCTCTGCGGGGGCTACCACCAACTCACGGAAGTGATTGAGGAAAAGGCCGTCGAGGACGACCGTCGGCGTCGTGAGGCCCTGGCCGATCGGCTGCTCCACTGCGCCCCTGGAAAACGCCCGCGACGAGCGGACACGGGGCGGGGAAAGGGCCAAACCACCTCACAAAACTGCGTGAATAAAAGGGGGCGAAACAGGCGCTCAAGCGGTTGCGCATGAAGGAGGATATCCGGAAGGGCGAGGAGTTTGTGGGGAGTGGTGCGGGGGACATCAAATCAGGTAATATCGAGTCATTCGCATACGTTCCATTAAATCGCACCTACATAAACCTCCATATCGGTCGTCAAACTTTACATCGTTTTAAAGTAATTCAGAGCAAATTCTTTGAAAGCGAAAAGGCGATGTGCTAAGCTTAGAAGTCTAAGTGAAAAAAAATAGAATAATAAAAAGAAGAGGAGTTGGATATGACAACGATAGGAAGGAAGGCGCGGCACCGTGTTTAATTTACAATGACTGGAGTAACATCTACGATGTTAAAGATGATCAACTAATTTGTGTAAACTTTAAACAGCAACACAGAACAAAATGAATCGGTATGTGTACTTGTTAGACATCGTAAATGCAGGCATATTTCTCTGATTTGACGGTTTACGGATACCTTGTCCAACTTCTGAGAGGGGCAGACTGACGAAGAACGAAGCTATAATTATATTTTCTGCGTTTGAACCCAGAGGTCGTTTTTTATAATTTTCATAAGCAAATATTGTCACCATTTTTTTAAAATATTAAACGATGATCTTACTCAATCCTAAAGCTACTCGATATGTCCGCATTTGACCAGCTGGAGTCTCTTTTCGAAACGATTTATCGTTTTCAACATGTCCTTGGGCTATGTCATTGGGATATCAGGACGTATATGCCTCCTAAAGGTCAGG